AGCGGTGTCTTGCAACAGATCGCGGACTCCGGGCGCGGAGTCTCCAGGCGCCGGGAACGGCCGGGGAGGCCAGAAGAGCGCGTCCGGGCCGGGGCCCGGCCCCAGCCACCTCCGCCCGCTTGCCCCTGCTCGGCTTTGCTCCATGGCTCCGCGGCCGCCGCCGCCCCTGCGGCCCTTCAGCTCGGAGGGGCCTCGCGGCAGCGGGTGCGGACACTCGGCTAAGGACTAAACAGCAGCGTCGTCTCTTCGCCGAGAACCCCGCACCCCTAACGAAAGCCGAGGCTGGGAGGCAGGAGGCAGGCAGGAAGAGCGAGCAGAAGCGAGTGGGAAGCAGGGCTTCGGGCGCCGCAGGACAGTTCAGCCCCGAGGAGGCTGCGCCCTGGGCCACGGCGGGCTGAGCCGGGCACGGCGGTGTTGGCTCGGAGCTCAGGACTGGCGGCTGCGGAGAGGCGTCTGGGAGCCCCAGGCTGGCCCTGCGCACCTGCCCTCGGCCGGCGCTCGAAACTCACCTGGACCTGGGCTCTCCCTTCCCCATCCCCGCAGCCGCAGCCCGAGCGGGCTCCGTGGGCCTGGAGCACTACCGGGTCTAATATGCTCAGAGCCGAGGCGAGATGAAGGAGAAGTCCAAGAATGCGGCCAAGACCAGGAGGGAGAAGGAAAATGGCGAGTTTTACGAGCTGGCCAAGCTGCTCCCGCTGCCGTCGGCCATCACCTCGCAGCTGGACAAAGCGTCCATCATCCGACTCACCACGAGTTATCTGAAGATGCGCGCGGTCTTCCCCGAAGGTGAGGGCGCAGGTGGGCGGCAGGGACTGCTGTGGCCGGGGCTACCCTACCGGGCCTCGGAATGGCCAGAGCGTATCCGGGGGAGCCTGCGGCCAGGGTACTCGGCTCTGGTCCTACTGAAGACAGGCCAGGACTGTGGCGGCCCAGGCGACCAGACGATCTTCTGGCCCAGGGCTGGGCTGGGACGAACCAAGAATTGTTGGGGCAAACGGTCCCCAAACCAACATCAGCGTTCACTAGTCCACTGTGGATTTGTCCGTCCGTCCATCCTTCCTATGCCCGTCCACTTCGGCTTTATTTTGCTTTTCTTTTTATCCCAGGCCATTCGAGGTTTTATTTCCCCTTCCTTTCTCCCTTTCCTTCCTCTCTCCTTCCCTCCTTCCCGTCCTTCTCTCCTTCCTTTTGTTACTCCTATGTCCAGTCTATTCCAACTTTACTTTTTTCCCTTTCTTCCCTCCCCCCGCAGGTCATTCGAGTTTTTTCCCCTTTCTTTCTTCCCTTTCTTCCTTTCTTCCTCACTCCCTTCTCCTCTTCCCTCTCTCCCCCCCTTCCTTTCTGCCTTCCTTCTTTTCTTTTTTCGACTCCCCTTTTCTTTCCTTCAGTTCTCCCAGTCTAACTTTTTCTTAAAGGAGGCGAATGTCCCTTGCTTCCTGCTGGGAGCGGTTGGGCTGGATGGGGAATCGGGCGCTGCAGGCCAAAGCGGCCCAACCGCACTTTCCCGAGAGCGCCAGTGTCTCAGGTTGCCTCTTACCCTGCCTTCCTTGGGGCTGGGCATAGAAGAGAAGGGAGGAAGGAGTTTTCTAGCTAAGACCGGTAAAAGGAGAGAGGCAATTAGTTCAGTGGCAGGCAGGCCTGAGCCTGGTGATTCTTTTTCAAATTGAAAAGGGCACTGGGCATTCCACAGACTTGGGATCCTTAAAAAAAAAAAATGGCTCGCCACAGCTTTTAGGTCTGGTGTCCCAGGGTCTCAGTGGAGGCCTTCACACCTGTCCTGGTCGCTGCAGATAGTCAGTAGGGTTTGGGCATATTGCTGGGAAAGTCATTGCTCTAGGCCTCATCAGCACCCCCAGGACCTGCGTGCCTGTGGAAAGCCCACACCAGGATAGGGAGATAACTTCAACCACGAGGCACCAGAAGGTCTCTGCAGTTGCCGGTGACAGGTGTCCGTCGTCCACAGATCTGCTCCATTAATGCTGCGCCCAGCCTGGCGCCCCTCTTGGAATCGGTAAGCTCCTCCTTTTGCGTTTGCTGCCCTCAAGCCAGTCGGGATTGTTTCTGGGTCTGGAGCTGCACTTCCGACTGCCTCCCGGGTGGAGCGCAGCGATGGTCTGTCGGGCGCTTGCTGCCACCAGTGCTGTCCCGCAGCTGGCTGGGGAGCCAAGCTCTGAAATGGGACACCCCAGGGAGCCCAAGGGACTCCCCAGCTATGGCTTGGTCTCTTCAGAGCCTCTCCGCACAGCCCCGGGCCTTGAGGCCGTGAGACCACGGGTTGCAGGAGTCTCCACCCTGCCCGCCCAGCGCATGTTCTTCGCTTTTTCTGCTGGGTTCTGCAGAGACATTCCTGTCCAGCCCCTTCTCCCTAGGAACAACTGGCCACGAGCAGTGGCTACTAGGCGATCCCCTAGCTGAAGAAATAGGGTTGATTCCTCTGTGGCTGGAATTTCAGTGGAAATTTTTAAATAGTTTTCTAAGGGCCGGGTCTCCTGCCTAGCTGGAGAGGAGTGGTGGTCACTGGTTTGCTAGGACCAACTGTTTTTTAACCGCATGCTAAAAAGCAAGCATGGTTTCCCAACCCTTTCCTCCTCCCCCTGCCGCCTCTGGAAATACAATAAATAAGTAAGAAGAAACAATCAGAGGATTACATGACTTTTTGTAATGATTTCAAATAAAACAGAAATTAGAAGGCGCGCTCTGCGAAGACAGGGTGGATTGTAAGCCCTTCGCTGCTTGGGGGATTTCCAGGAGACTGTGCTAAACCTTGGGGAGTGGCGGGTGTACCCCAAAAGCCAACATCTGTGCCATCTATCTCCAGGAAGGGAATCTTCAGGGTGTTTTGGACCCCAAATGGTGTGGGCCCCAGTTTGTTGCAGGAATGGGCCTGCTAGGAGTCCAGGACTAGAGCACTAGGGCACCAGTGCAGCCAGCGTTCAGGAGCAGCCTAGTGAGGGACCACCTGTGTGTCTCCTGGGCATTGGCACTATGGAAGGAGTGGTTTGGATTTAAGAATTTGGGAATGGCTCTGAAGCAGTGAGCTCCAGCTTGGAGAAGGGTAAGGACAAACCGTGATCTAGTCCCCGCTTCCCCCACCCTGCAGGGCACAGTGCTGGAGGACAAGACAGGCAGCCAGGGACTTCTCGGGCTACTCTAGGGCTTCAGGTTTGCAGCTCTAGTGGCAAATGTTTTTCTCCTCCAGGCGGCCTGGGGCTGAGAAGTTGTCAAATCAGGGGCTTTGGGCAGAGAAAAGATGCATTTAGAAAAACCTCCATTTTGCAAAATAATTGGATTGCCTCTCAAATAGCTCTGAGAGGAGGGAACACCTAAGTGAAGCGGCTAGTTGATCTAGCCCTTCTTGTTGCGGGAGTTGGGGACAGGGACCTGGGTCTGTGCAGGGAAGATGTGGGTGTAAGGTTGAAATGGAGGCTGGTGGAGCCACTGGAGTTAGGGCCCTGGATCTAGGGAGGTCTGCATGGCTAATGGAGCTGCCAGATTGCCTCTTGGCTGCAAATGGTGAGTGGAACCAACCTGCCAAGTGCCATCTCACCCGGGAACAAGTGGGATCCCTGGGTAAAGAAGGTTCTAGAGACCAATCTGGGACTTTGAAAGTTAGAAAATGAATAGCATAGTCCTAAGGAAATTGTCAAGGCTAATCCTTAATACTTGAAGAAACTAAGGCCAGAGAAGGGACAGGACTTTCCTAAAATCCCACAACCAAGAACAAGGGCAGGCCAGTCGTTGCAGTGGTGACTGATGTGTCACATTCTCCTCTGCCGCAGCAGAGAGGCCATAGCCCTGGCTGGGGGATCCTCTTACTACAGATCCTCTCTGGCAGAAAGACAAAGAGGAGGTTGGAGGGGTCCCCACACGGGGCAGAGAGAGGCAACAGAGCCAAGTAGATACCCTGCAGTGGTCGTCTACAGGCTCAGGGTGCTTTCCATTTTACACAGGGTTGAGGCTGCACCGCTTTGTCATACCACTAGGTCTTCATCTCGTTGTCTGCAAAATGGGTTCACCGGCCACTCCTGTGTCCACACGGGGTTGTTATGATGGAGTGTGAGGATGTGCAGCACAGACATCTCAGGGTTGATCTTACTCATCTGATCTTACTCATCATTCCTTCCTGCGAGCTCCTGGTAATTCCTGAGTCGCAATGCTTAAATGGGGAGTAGGTGTTCACTGCTTGGAGTCTGAAGACCCGCTGCTTTTGGGAGTGCCATCTTTTCTCCCTGTCAACAGCAAACCAAAGAGGGAGAGCTAGGTGGGGTGGGAGAGAAGGCAGGAGAGCCAGACCCACTTTGGCACACAGACTTAGAGTAATGGTTGGGAAAGTGGAAAATGCCAGCCCTGGGACAGCGCTGGGGCCCCTAGTCTGCCTGCTTCCTCTTAGTTGTAGCTGCACGGCCCTCCCTCCTGGAGAAGGGGAGCTTTGGAGACCACAGAACACTGGGGCAGGCGAGTTCTGTTTGCTCACTGGCGATAGCTTTGCTGAGACCAGATGCAGCAGGACATGGGTTGTTTCTGCCCCTTCAAGGGCTGTCACTGGGCCTGGAGAGACCCAACTCAGAGCAGAAGCAGCACCAGTGTCCACCTTGGGTTTCCAAGGAGCCTAGGTTTTGGTCCTGAGAAGTGAGGGCAGGATTGGCGTCTCCTCCAGGACCTTACACACTGACAGCTGGCACGCAGCACTGGCCCAGGATGTCAGCTCAGGAATGGAGTTGGAAACCAAGGCTGATTCTCTCTCCTACTCCTCTCTCAGACTTGAAAGGCCCAGACAACTGTTTGTGTATGAGAGAGGCGGGAGGTATTGCAGCATTTTTCAGGACCAAGTACTTAAAAGAAGAGAAAACTTCACTTACACACTCAAAGTAGGATCCAGGGCCTGAATTATTTGGATGGCTAGATTCCTCTGAGTTCAAATTCATTTACCAGCAGGTCCCGCTCCCACTCACAGCCTGAACTCCCTGTCTGCTATCAATAATTGCTTTTGGAATCAAAACAATTTAGTTTGGACAGTTTGGTGAGGACAAACTAGCCCTGTATGGACAGGGGCCTTTCTCAACTGCAGCCCAGAACCCTGTAGGATTTTTTTTTAAAGGCTTATCTTTTAGAATTTTACAACTCTCTCCTGACCTCTGCTTAGCTGATAGTCAGGTGGTATTGCCCCCAGGGCTCACGGTGTTGGTCTTCCAGGTGAGAAACTGTAATAGATTACAGGGTGATGCAGATTCAGTCCCCTGAGGCCAAAGGCTAGGCCTCTGGGGAGAGTTACCAGATGCTGAAGCCTGCCTCTGCACCTGGCTCTGGGCTCCCCGATTTCTTTTTCCTTTCTTTTTTTTTTTTTTTAGAGGTTTTTGCCTTATTTTTTGCCTTAGGGTATGTGAGCTTGCAGGGGTTGGTTGGGAAGAGGGAGGACAGAGACAGTGAGAGGGAAAGTGAAAGTGAGAAATCATCTGGGGGGGATGGATACACCACAATCTCTTCCCTTCCATTCTCTTCCCAGGATCTTGGCCATACACACACACACCTAGCGTGATTTTGAAGTCACTGGGTCCATGACTCAAACTGCTGTCAGCCATGTGGAAGTCCAGCAACATAACTGCCAAGCCACCTGCTAATCCCACCCAGGTTTCTTAATGCCCCTATCGCTAGAGCTGTATCCACACTTTGAAAGTCTAGTTGGGGGTCATAGGTGCCTTGAGTCTATAGGCAAGCATGTATGACACCCCCTGGCCTGGTTTTTTTTTTTTTTTTGGAGAGGTTTTTGCTATAGGGTGCGTGCGCTCGCCAGGCAGAGATAGAGAGAAAGAAAGCAAAAAATCCCCCCCCCCCAGGGGCGGTGGCCATGCTGCAATCCCTTCTCCTCCATTCTCCTCTCGGGATCTTGGGCGTGAGTCCAAGCCACCGGGTCCAGGACTCGAACCACCGCAGTCGACTACGTGGGAGTCCAGCGACATAGCCATTATGCTAACTGCTGGTCCCCCCCTGGCCTGATTTGAAGCTTCCTCCCCTCTGGCTCTTCATCAGGCCTGGGAAGGCCTTCTTGGGGCATTCCCACCTACTACCCCATCACACCAGGTCCCACAGCTCCTTAGTTTGGAAAAGGGCACAAGGCACTTTTCAGGGACCTGGAAGAGAATGAGATTCCAAAGCTAGAGGTGGATTGAACTGCAGGCAAGAGCCACTCCCCCCTCCCCGCCCCCAATCCAATCACGACAATTTACCCTGGTCCTGGAGTTGGGAGAGGGTACAAGCTGTGGAGTTGGTCTCAGAACAGTAAGGCAGACTGACCCCAGATTTCCCTGGTACCCTTGCACAACTTGAGGACACTTGGAGCCTCTGAGAGAGCTCCTCAAGGCCCTGCTGCCCCCAAAAGAAATCAAGCTCAGGATTCCTGGTAGTAAGCCCTGCAGTGTGTGGGGGGTAGGGGGTGCTGATGGGCCTTAGATGCTGCTGTCTCTGAGGCCCCTAAATGTGCTTGGGTGGAGGAGGGAGAGGACCAAGCAGTAGCTCATACCCCCATCTCCTCCCACTCTTCCTACTCCACCACCATCCCCTTTTTTTTTTTTTTTTTTTGAGAGATTTTCACTATAGGGCGCGTGTGCTCGCCAGACAGACAGAGAGAGACATTAGAGACAGAAAGCGAGAAATCACCCCCCAGGGGGGATGGTCATGCCGCAATCCCTTCTCCTCCATTCTCCTCTCGGGATCTTGGGCACGCACGCACACGCGCCCGGCGTGAGTTTTAAGCCACCGGGTCCAGGACGCGAACCGCAGTCGACTACGTGGGAGTCCAGCGACATAGCCATTACGCTAACTGCTGGTTCCCACCATCGCCTTTCTTGACTTTGGTGTGGTTTGCACTCTGAAGTGTGAGTGTTGTCCTCAGATGGCCCAGGAGCCTCCAGAAGTCTTGCTCCCTGAGATACAACAGATTTGGGGATGATCACTGGGGAGGAGAGGCTGGAGACCAGACAGGAGTGAGAGAGCCAGAGAAGGCTGGGCCAAGGTGCCAGCCACTCCATGAAAACCAAGGCCTCAAGCCAGGCCAGCTCATTTAATCCCATTTTAGAGGTGTAAAATGAAGGTGAGGGGTTAGGGCACTTGCTGGAGATCAGCCCACCTGATTGTCCCTGGGGCCCCTAGGGGGGGGGGGAGGGTGGGAGGGACGGGTTCCTAAACCATCTCTGCTAGATTTTTCTCTTTCCAGATCCAATTTTCCTTAGAGGTGGGGGATAAGGGCAGGGACAGGCACTTCCTTTTTATTAATCCCATTTGATTGTCACAGGATCACTTTGTAACTGGCTTTAGACACTTGAGGTTGCCAAGGGAAGTGAAAGAGAATGGCCATCTAACTCTTGCCAACATCTCAGGTCCAGGGCTGGACCCACAGTCAGGGCCACAGCAACTCCTGCCTCCAGGCTTAGAGAAGGAGCAGAGCTGGCTGGCTCCTTTAGGTCTTGACTGCAGTGTGTCCACCTCCTCTGGGATGGGCTGCCAACAACCAGAGGGCACCATCTCCCCTCCCCTAGCAGATCCTCTCATCTGCTTGGTCCCCTCCCCCTTCACAAGGTCATTGCACCTGGAGATGCCCCAGGGCCTGTTGTGGTCGCTCTTTGTTGACTGTCTAAACCTGTCTCACAGAGAGGAGGTACCATGTCGAGGCAGCTTCTATGTGGGGAGGGTCTGGTGGGGTTTCTACCCTGTAGGAAACAGTGTGGGTGCCAGCGTCCAGGACTCACAAACCCTGGGAGACTGTGGGGCTCATGGGGGGGGGGGGCTTGTGACTGATACAATAATAGGGATGTGGGCTTGTCTCTGACTCCCCCCCTCACACACTCACCTCAATACTGTTTCTCCCTGGGGGCTCCCAATAACCTGGCCATCTCCACTTCCAGTAGCTAGGGGTCCCCAGAAGGGTCTAGATGAGACAAATAGGAGCCCAATCCTCTCTGGAAACCACAGGCCACGCTGGGCATGGGACCCTAGGCTGCTCCAAGAGCAGTGGGTGCCTGTGAGTCCCAGGACCGGGTGAGAGACCACCGAGGACTACTGACCCTGGAGAAGTTGAGCCCAGTCTTTTTTGCCCTCTCCCCCATTTTTCAAGTCAGCAAAGCCCTTTGTTAGGTCCAGATAAAAGTCACGTGCCCAATATCTCACTTGGTACGTGCTTTACGGTACCAAGACGATTTTTTATGTGTTATACCTTGCCTTATTGAGGCTCTGTGTTCAGACCTAAGTGGATTTTTTATGGGCTGAGTGTGAAGACCTCGCCCATAGTGGTTTCTAATGGAACAGCTGGCAGCACCACCACCTGGGGTGGGGTGGCGTGGGGCAGGTACTTCGGGAAACTGTCACGCAGAACTGCCACCTCCCCTACTAGGTTGGAAAGGCACACGCACACCGAATCTGAGCAGCAAAGTGGCAGCATCAGGAAATTATAGGGGGGAAAGTGATAATGATATAGGAGAACAAGCTCTTGATGTATCTGAATATTTGAATTAAATAGAAAATTATGCCGTGTGCCAATGTCATTTTGTATGCTGTCAGGGCCTTTGACAGAGCCTCTAAGAGGGTTGGGCGGGAGACTCTGGGGGGTCCCTCGGAAAGGCCCACATTTCCCCAAGCTGTTTCATCCTCCAGGACCCGGCAGACACCTAGGGAAAGGGGCACCTACCTTCTGCACTAAGGGCAGCTTTCATGTTTGGAAATTAGAATTCCTGGGTCTTCATCAAGTTCTTTCTTAACCCAAGCCCCAGGACTGTTAGATTTTGGTTCTTTCTATTGCTGGCTAAATGGGTAAATACCGCTGCCACTAGGCTGCCCACCTGGGAGTCCAAGAGGTGTGAGAACTCATGGGGCAGTGGAGATGCTCGGAGTAGGAATGATTTTGGTGGGTCAAATAGATACCACAACTCATGTGGAGGCTGAGGGAGGTGTAAATATCTATTTGGAGGAAGAGGACTTATGGAAATTACCTATTTCTTTATGGAAAGGTCAGGATAAGTCCCAAATTCCTAGAGCCCAGGGGGAGAAAGAAAGTTTTAAGTTGCCAAATGACTTGTGGGAAGGGTCTGCAAAGCCTGTGCCCTGGGCACTGGGGTGCATTTGCCTTATCCTGAGGTTGCCAAGGGAACCTTTTCCAGGCATGCAAAAGCTGTATTGCCCCAGGCACCTACAGGGACAGCCAGCAGACCAAGGTGGCTACTGGGTGACTGGGGAACCTTCTCACAGCGGCTACAAGAAGGGGCTCTGTGGTCCCAGGAACGGTCCCAGGTTTGCCGCTGTGGGCCAGATCCCCTTCCCCTACTGCCCCAGGTGGCTCCTGACCAGTCGTCTGGCACTTTTGGCATGCAGACAGGCTGGGCTCAGGTCTGGCCTGCAATTGGGAGAAGTAGCGATGCACCAGTGGGACACAGCTCACTTGGCAGGGGGTCACAGCTAAGGGTGGGCATTGGGGGAGTGGGCAGGGAACCTGTGGAAAGTTGGAGCTGACAGTCCTGGACCTTTGCTACCTCAAGCTGCCCTCCCACCCCCAACCCCAACCAGAGGGTCTAACTGGCTGGGGTCAGGGCCTCTACTGGTAGGATTCTAGGAAGCCGCTGGGGGTTCCAGCCCTAGTCTCACACCCCCTTTCCCGCCTGGGAGGAAAACCTGAGGTCTCCAGGTCACTCCCAGGTGAGGAGGACCCTGACTGTCAGGGCTCTTTTCCCCTTGTAGCACCTTCTGCGACATTGGTGGTCTTGGGGAGGCATTGGGAAGGGCAAGGAGGTCCTAGGGAAGCCCAGTTAAAAGTGGAGAAGGCTGGGATCCCTGCTCAGTGGCACAGACACCTCTTAGACACAGTGCAGTGTATGCAACTCTCCCCGCGGGTGGCACTTCCCAGGCAGCCACTCTGCAGACTTGGAGTTGGTCCTCTGGACAGAGCTCTCAGAATGAAAGGGAGGCAGCGCTCCCTCGGCTTTTGAAAGATGGAGAATCCTGGGGAAAACGTTGATGCGGGTAGATTTTTAGGCTGGAAAAAAAAATGCCTCCTAGACGCCAGGATTTTCTATCTGTGTCTGTCTATCTTTGGGAAAATGCAGTTTCCAGCCACTGGGGGAAGGCAGGGAGGGAGGGGGTCAGGGTCCTTGGGGGAATATTTACAGCCCAATCGATATACCCGTTTGGTTACGAGGATGGCTGATTTCAAAGCAGATTAGATTACTTTGTGGCATTTCAAATAAATCAGCAGTTTCAGAGCCATGAGCACGTGGGCGACCCTCAGGAGCAGTTGGCCTGGCCGTCTCAGTGCGCTCAAGGGCGTCTGGGCTGAGGCCTCGGTGGGATTTCTCCTCCTGCCGTTTCCCTTTCTTACCGAGTGCAGAGAGGCGACAGCGAAGGCACAGATGGTGACCTGCTGGCTGGGAAGCAGCAGAAGTACTTTCCGGGTTCTGGCGCCCGAGTGCAGCGTTGGTGCAGCGCCCAGGCGGGCGCCGGCCTCTGCTCCGCGCCGGTGTTTACTGGTTTGCTTTATTTCCCTGTCCAGGTTTAGGAGACGCGTGGGGACAGCCAAGCCGTGCGGGGCCCCTGGACAGTGTCGCCAAGGAATTGGGATCACACTTGCTGCAGGTAGAGTTGGGGGGACTCTCTTCCGACCTCGTCACCCCTGCCTCGAAGTGTCCCCGTCCCAAGAAGCACCGGACAGCTCCATGGGCTGTCCCCCAGGTTGCGGAGATCACGGGGTGGGGGAGGAAGGGTGGCCTCTACCGGGTCTACCGCGGCGGGACAGGACTCAGGAAAGGCCCCCTTAACGCACCAGGTTGCTGCCTGGGGCGAGCCCTCCCTCCTTAGCTCCCTTCAGGCATACTTTAAACCGCCGGGGACGGCCAAAGGGCTCCCTAGGGCGTGGTTAAGTTTTTCCCCAACCTTATGTCCCCTCAGCACCTTTGACCTCGCGCTTGCTCGGTGCCGACGCCCGGCGCTGGGCGGGGAGCTGGGGCCAGGGAAGAACCATCTGAGCACCCCGAGCCAGAGGGCCGCGCTCAAGTTTTTGGCAATCGCGTCCGAGTGTGCATGCGCAGGGTTTGGAATGATGGAGATCCAGCATCAGTAATAAATACAGACGATCGGCACTTACTGAGAGTTTGTTACAGGCTAGATTATTTTCAAACCCTACTGTTTCGGGCTTGACTACTCCGCTGGGGTAGGTTCTATTTTTAGCTTCATTTTTTCGGAAAAGTTGCACAGGGGGTTAGATAACATGTCTGGGGTCACACAGCAAGAGAGAAAACCGGGTTAACCTTAGTGATGCAGTTCAAGACCTGCCAAAGATAAACAGGACGTGGCCTCGAGGGTCACCTGACTCTGAACCCTGACTTGGCTTGAGGTCAGGAGCTTGACGTCCCCAATCGGGGCCAGAGGCTGCTACACTTTCCTGTTCTCGGCTTTCCCCTACCTTTTCCCCGCCCGGTCGCCGGCGCAGGGCTCCGTCTGGCCTTGAGGGTCCAGCAGGGAAACCCCCAGCACGACCTGCCACTTCCAGGTTGGCAGCTGGCGCTAGTCGGGAATAATACCACCTCCTGTCTCAGAACCCTTCAAATGCCCTTTACAGTTTCATCAACGACCCGATTCATTCATCGTCTCCTGTCATTTGTCTCTGCCATCGAAAAATCCTACCACGAGCTATTTTGCATTTCCTCTCTCTATTGCGTGTTTTCTTTAAAAGGAAAAAAAAAAAAAAACTGGCTGCAGGACGCGGTGACTTAGGTCAGCGAGTTAGCTTCGAGCTCTCCATTTTGAAAAAATAGACCTTTTCAAAACTCTTTTGGCCCCACCTGCCTTAGTGCCTTTTATTTTTAAAACGCACGCGCTAGGTAGAGCCGAGTTGGGGGAATGTTTGAAACCCGGGGCTCTCACAGCGGAAAGCAAACGGCGGGGCGGCCGTTCGAGGCCTGGCGCCCTGGGATCCGGCCCGTGCCCTTCCTCGCCCTCACCTCCTCGCTCTCCGCCAGCCAGCTCTGCGCTGGTGTTTTTACCTGCCCCTTAGGCTCACTTCTTATAAGTGATGCTAGTATCAGGGACAGGGAAGTGCCGGAAACTTCAGTGAAAACCCGGCAGGCAAAGTCAGCTTCCCCAGACTTCTGCACTGTTCGATCCTTTTTAATTAATTCTGGAGTGGTGTGCGAATGGCCGGCTTTGCAGTTATTTCACATGCATGTAAGCGAAGTAGGTCATTCGAAGCTATGAAGGTATGCATTTTCCATTCAGAAAGTTCTTTCTCAAGCTACGGAGGGCAGCTTTTAAAATTTAATTATGATCTTTTACTGATGGTCCTAGATTTGGCTGGTCGTGCAATACTGTTTCATGACATGTATCTCTGTAATGATTTTGCAGTTCGGCAAGCATGCCTCACCTGCCAGAACGTTGGTAACTTCAGAAATTGCTGTATAGTTTATATTTTTGAATAGCCACAGGTTTAGTTGGGAAAATGCGTTGTAGCTGAATTGAAAACCTGCAAGGAAGACTTAGAATCAGGATGCTGCTTTCAACCTTAGCATAATTTCTGCAGCAAACTATATTTGGACAGCAGAATGTAAAGATCTTTCAACTTTCACTTCTACATTATTTTCTTAGTGCTCCCCCCACAAAGGGGGAATTTGGAAAAACCAAAGGTAATCTGGTTTCAATTACATGCTGTAAAAATAGGATTTGTGGCCAGAAATTAATTTGGAATATTTTTATGGGGGCGGCATTGTAGGTTGTTCAGGTCTTTCACCAACTTTATTACTTTTCTTTGGTTCTGGATCTAAAATATGAATGAGTAAATAAAATACAGTTTCCTTTTCCAAAAATAATTTAGCCTTTTTATCCTTGACACACATAAATATAATCATTGCCTTTTTATGTGTCTTAATTACCTCTTATAATTTTGCCCTATTTTTTTGTGGGCTAGCCAACTCAGGCAAAATCGGAATTTCTGTTGGGTAGTTTTAACATTGCAGAGGTTGATACCTTTTTTCCCTTGAATTTTGCAACGTTTATTTGATCTCTTTTAAATTTGAAATAATTAATTCTGTAGACATAGTCTGGTAAAATAGCTGATATTTTGTCTTATTTTCTGGGGAGTTGTAGTGTTCGGAATTTATTATTCAAATGGTACTTAGGGGTAACGAGAACATTGTGGCAAATAAAGTGTATGTCCTCGTGGTATAAATGACTGCCAATTATGACATAAAACGGTCTATATAGTGGTAGATTTTCCCCTAAGTACCATAGAACTCCGGATTTGTGCTAAGTGCTAAAATAACCCCAAACAATAAAGCTACTGCGTTTAAACTGAGCGTGATAGGAATTCTCAAATGCTTTGCATGATTTTTGTGATGTGAAGGTAAGATTGTTTTTCAAGTGCTTTAAAAGCATTTGAGATTCTGGCCTGGGAACTAAAGCTTGAGTGTTGTTACCTAGAGTCCTCCTTAGGGCCTTGGCTGAGTTTCTTTGCACTTACCAAATACGCTGATATTAATGTTTTATACATCCCCCCACCCCAGCCACTATGCAGTGATTAGATTTCACTCGAATGCAGAATGATCATCTCTTACCCTGATACTCTCTCTTTTATAGACTTTGGATGGATTCGTTTTTGTAGTAGCATCGGATGGCAAAATCATGTATATATCAGAAACTGCTTCAGTGCATTTAGGCTTATCCCAGGTAGGTACTGCCCAATTTTATGTACAAGCAAAATAGTAATGAAGTGTTAGTATATCTCAGCCTCTTACCCAACTTGGAAATGAGTCTGTAGGTGTCCGCTCCGGGTATGAACATGTTCCAAATGTGCAGTATCCTCGTCCTAGGACGCCCTCGCGGACATTTCCTCCGCGATCCATTTCCCTTTCTTTTTTACTTTCTTTTTCCTCTGGGGTTAATAACCACTCTGTCTTTGCCACAGTCAGCTTTGTTCTGAGAGTGTGTCCAAAGCCCTGGACTATCTGCTTACACAGTAAAGCTAGATGCCATTAAAAAGAGCTTCACAAAGGGAGATTTTTTTAGTCCACACTTGCCGGGCTACACATGGTATTATGCGTTGCTGTGTAAGGAGAGGGACCCTGATGGAGAACGTGGATTTTATGCAGAATGTGCTTTGGGGAGAGAGAAAGGGGAGGGATAGATTTATGAGTGTTCACATGGAATTCAGGGTCATTTTTCCTGAGTTTTTCCAGTTCAGTGGTCGTTTCAGTAAAGCATTTTATATGCTTGTGATAGAAACTCATAAAACTCACTTTACTACTGTTTTGTACAGCAAGGCCTTGGTTTCTTCACATCATTTAAATATTACTAATTTTTCTGGAAAAGTGGAAGCATTTCCTAAAAAGGGGTTCAATTCCTTAGAAAAAAGGTGGAACCAACCTTTACCTATCCCTATTAAGCTCTCTAGGCCTGTGGCACGTCTGTATGGGGAGATTTTATGTGGTGGTTCCCGTTCACATGTCTGATTTAACAAGCTGGGAGCGTGGTTCTCAGAGCCACATTATACACACACACACACATACATACATAGGAACTGCATGTTTCTTTACACTGCAAACTATCGATGTGATTTTTCATCACCACTGAAGACATTTTAGAATTAATTATAGATTCAGAAAATGGGCTCCTGGGAGGCGCACTAGTGATCGGTATTGCACCAGCCTCCTAATGTAGGTAAGCCCAAATAAAGCATGCCAATTAATGTGGCTTGAGTTTTCTCATTGTAAAACAAAATTATACCAAATTCATGAGCCTACATCTGTTACATTCCTTTTCTTTTTCTGCCACACACACACATGGTGTGTTCTTTTTAAAACTTATTGTTTATAGCCTGCTTACATAACATAGTATAACCTTCCTTACCCACATCTGAGTGGGCTTATGTGCCCATGCATTTCCCATGAAAAATTCTTTAAAGTGAATTTTAAATTAATCACGTATTACAATTGTTCGGAGGTATCTTTTCTTTTATGAAACTATGTCAACTTAGTACAGTTGACTAAAACGCAGCTCTTGCACCCACATAACTTGGGATTCATATACTTCCCAAATGAGAAATACTGTTAAAAATATAAAACTTAGTGGGACCAGTAGTTGGTGTAACGGCTGTGTTGCTGGACTCCCATATAGTCGACCATGGTTCGATTCCCGGACCCGGTGGCTTAAACTCATGCTGGATGCGTGTGTGTGCGTGCCCAAGATCCTGAGAGGAGAATGGAGGAGAAGGGATTGTGGTGTGGCCATCTCCCCTGGGGGGGATGATTTCTTGCTTTCTGTCTCTCTGTCTCTCTCTGCCTTTCTAGCGAGCACACGTGCCCTATAGCAAAAACTGCTCAAAAAAGAAAAGAAAAAAGAAATATAAAACTTAGTATTTATACATTTTCTGTAGTTATTATCTGAATTTCCACCCTGCCCTGCTTAAAATTATTAAGGGCCTTTTAGTTGTATTCAAACTGGTTTTCTATTCCAGACTTGATTCATGGCCTAACTACTTTGCTTGGATTACTTACCTTTCTCAATCACAATTTATAAAACTGTCTACAGTCTTGCAATAATGGGGCAAAACAATTTACATACTTTTTAAATGACTGGCCAAAAATCTTTAAAATAAAGTTGCCAACTATTATCGAATGTTAAATGTAGATCTGAGCTCCCTAGCAGTCAAAGCAAAAGGAGAAAGGCATTCAGTTATTTAGTTTTCCTCATCTAATAGAATAAGTGCGTAACCTCCTTAAACCATAGCTTATATTATAAAATGATGCCTGTTTTATTCCTGTTTTAGGATTGTGGTGAGAGACAGATCAAAGTGTCTATTCTATCTGACTTACAAAATATAGGGAGCCACACAAAAGCCAAGTATCCCTGCAGTGTCATTAGAACAAAGTTGTTTCAAGCGAAGTCATTTGGTGGGTACCTCTCAGTGCTGTTTGGTCATTTGGGATGCCCTAGCATACCATTAGGAATCGTGCACTTTCCAGGGCAATGCAGTTCAGTTAGGCAGGCTGCTAAACTTAGAATCCTACATCTCTTTTTATGTGGGAAATAGAATTGATCAATTAGGCACATAATAATGAAGAATGATCAGGGCCAGCTCTGTATCCTAGTGGTTAGGGAAGTCAGTTCCCACATGATGGACCATGGTTCAAATATTCTCCCAGGTGACCTAAAAACATGCTAGGCTCATGTACATGCATGCCCAAAATCCCAGTAGAAATGGAGGAGAAGGATTGCAGCCTGACCACACCTTACTGGGGGTGATTTCTTCTTCTCTTTCTGTCTCTTTCTGCAGAGCACATTTGTCCTCTGGTAATTCAAAAGAATGACCAAAGTATTGGGTAGGTGACAAATATATCCCGTTCGTGATTAACTCCGCAGAAGGAAATCTAGGCAGAATCCTAGGTATTATATTTCCCTTTGGTCATAATGCAGAATATAATGTTTTATCATAAATTTGAGAGGAAAGGTGAATTATGCACTGCCTTTTTCCAAGAAAGTTGTAGAAATATCTTTGGTCTCTATGTTTCTAGTAGAAGTAACAGGGGTTTTTCTGTTTGGTTTTTTGTTTTTTTGAGAGGTTTTGCTATAGGGCGTGTGCACTTGCCAGAAAGACAGAGAGAGACAGAGAGACAGAAAGTGAGAAATCACCCCCCCGCCCCCGGCAGGGATGGCCATGCCGCAATCCCTTCTCCTCTATTCTTCTCTCGGTATCTTGGGCATACACACACATACACCCGGTGTGAGTTTAAGCCACCGGGTCCAGGACTCGAACCGCAGTCGACTACATGGGAGTCCAGTGACATAGCCATTATGCTAACTGCTAGTCCTAGAAGTAACAGTTTTAAAGATCAATCAAACTGACTGTGCCAAGCACCTGATTTCTTCTGATTTCTCAGCAGGGCTGTGTCAGCATTTGTCGGCAGCTACAAAATCACTTTAATGCCAACACGAACCTTGGCCACTATCTGGGGAGCTCTATGGAAAACTGTTTAAATAAGCAACAACAAACTTTCCTCTATCTGCCTCCTGTTCATGATTAACTCCTCAGAAGGAAATCAAGGCAGAATCAAAAAATGTCTATTTTTTTTTCTCTTCTTTGGTTAAATAGTACTGAATAGGAAGTCAAAGAACCAGCTGCTCTTTTAAATGTTTTTTGCATTTTTTTATATTTTTATTTTTAACAAAACATCAGGCAAACATATCAAATATGAAAACTTTATTAAAATAAGTTTAAAGATTTTTTTTAAACATCTCAGATAAAAGTGAAATTTTTTGTTTCTTACTCCATAGTCAGAGAGGTTTGAAGAGGTTTTCTGATGAATAACGTCAGCAGTAATAGCTGATATTTACAGGGTGCTCTGAGGTGCCCCAAGGACGCTTAATGACATGATCTCATTAAGTAGTGATATCTTTTATGTCAAGTCAGGGTTGAGGATCATAGTAAACAGAGGACCCGACCTGCCATAACAGTGTGAAAATTCACACACAAAAAAACCTGGCCTTATTTTTTTGTTTGTTTTGTTTTTGGTCTGGACTATCTAAATAACTATCTGAATTATCTATTTAAGGGTGTAAAAATTATTATGTGTTATAAGTGTATTTAAAGCTTTGCATTAAACTTTTTTAAAAAAGATTTATTTATTTAATTCCACTTATTACTATTATTTTTTAATTTGACCAGAGAGAGAGAGAGAGAGAGGGAAAGGGAAAGTGAGAAAGCAAGCCACCAGGTCTGGGACTAGAACAGCAATCAACCATGTGGGAATCCAGCGCCTTTAACCACCATGCCACCTGCCAGGGCCTTTATTAAACTTTTTAAAAACAAATGTTGAAATAAGAAATCTACTTCATACAGCAGAGTTTATTAGTTTGTTTTTACTTCTAAACTAATAAACAAGTGATCATTGCTGTCAAACTTTAGTACTTACAAAAGAAAACTAAGAGTCAACTACACAGCACAAGTTGTTTCCTCACACAGGGTCTCAATTCTTGGAAAACAGAAGAAAGCTTCTAGCCTAAAAGTTCTATTTAGTGTATGCACACACACGCACATAGAAATAAATTTAAATCTGTTTGAGTGACATGCAGATGGGAGCTCTCTTTATCTATGCACATTTATTAAATGATTTAGTTCTATGTTTTTCCAATTAATACAATTATTTACTTAAGGAAAATAAAAAGCAGAGCCCTGTGTAGCTGTTGTATATATTTGTGGGTATCCCTGTGATTCAAATTTCCTTACCAAAGTTGTGAACATTAAACAGCATCAAGGGACCATCAGATGGCATAATGGTTACTTTGCTGAACTCCCACGTGGCTGACCACAGATTGAGTCCCAAACTCAGAGTCTGGAAACTCACACTGGGCACATGTGCATGCGTGCCCAAAATCCTGAGAGGAGAGTGGAGGAGAAGGGATTGTGGTGTGGCCGGTGATTTCTTGCTTTCTGTCTCTTTGTCTCTCCGGCAAGTACTGTACCCTATAACAAAAATATCTCTTAAAAAAGAAAAGAAAAGAAAGCATCTAGATAGCCAGTATAGGCTCTCAAATATATGTATATGTATGAAATAGCAGTTTATGAGACGCATAGAAAAAGTAGAATCTTCGAGATTACTGCCAGAAGCACAAATAAAAAAATAGTGAAAATAGTGATGGTGGTGTTTGGAGGCCCAAGACCTACCCCTTTTACTTTTGAAATAGAGAGGGTAGCATTTTATGTTTGCTGCCATAATTTGAACGCTGAAACCCAAGCCATCTGATTTTAAAATATCTAATTTACCAAACTCATCAAAATACCCAAAACCAGAAAAATGTGCATTTTTAGGGTGTGAGCGACTGTGCCCTTCTGCACAGAATATATCCATTTAGTGCTGTATTTATCATATGCAGTTTTCTTGGCAGGAAGAAAAGCTATTCAGCAAAACGTAAAAAAGCTCTTAGTAGGAAAATCATTCATTTTGTAACTAACAGGTTTTACAAATTCTAAAACATCACATCAAGTGTCTGTTTTAACACAGCCAATGTATGTGATCTGGGGAGCTTTTTAACAACAACCATCATTTTAATTTTATTTATTTATTTATTTTTTTTGTGAGGTAGTCACATTTCTTTTATCCTTCAAAAGCACGACTAGATATGTAAATACAGGAAACACTGTGTCAACCATAATTTTGAGTCAAGGTCAGCACTGATAAATTCTAAAATTTGTGCTTTAAAAACATTTCTGTCACTTGAAGACTGTTTTACTTCCTAGACTGCCATATAGTTTTTCCATTTGTTTTCTAATGGACCCAAGCTTTCAGAAAATCAAGCCTTTCATCTGTGAATCTTCCACTCTCCTTATTCTCCAAAAGCATGTGTTGAGAACAGGAATTTTGAAAGCAGATAAAGCCACTTTGAGATTAAAATGCAAATCTAATCCTTCATAAGCACAGATGGGAGTCTTTCTGGAAGTATGTGAAGACATCTCTCTCAAAAGCCGTCAGTTGCTTTTTTCTAAAAAAGAACTTAGAGCAAGCCAGAATTACCATTTTTTTCCCTAAACACATGAGTAAGGGAGAAATGAACAGATCCATAAAACATTTTCTATGTTGTTGGGGTTTTTTGTTTGTTTTGTTTTTAAAATAAGCTATTGAAACTGTGAATCAGTTTTCAAGAAGCCAGATCCCTTTTTATTAACCTCCATTCCGCACCTTGACAGAGCTTCACAGTGGGTCCCCAGCTCCCAAATACTGGCTCAAATGCTGCTAGTTTATTTAAACTTTTAAAGGATTAACAGGAATGGCTTGAAAGAAGATTCTTTCCTTATTTAAAAAAAAATGTTTTAATGAAATCATGTAATAACTTTTCACATAGGCGAATTCCATTTGGGCCCATAGCATAGTGCCAGGTTTAGGGAGGTGGGTGTTAAGTAGGTGGTAGAGAGGATTTCTGTAATAGGATTCTCTCTGTGTGCATAATATCGGAAAGAAACATTCCATGAATAATGCAGAAAATAGAACTGTGAGAGCCATTTTAGGGACAAGATTACTTAGCAGGCCAGAAACCTAATTCCTTCTGAATAAAAAGGCAACTCACACATCTTAACAGATTGGAAGAACTGGCTCCGAGGAGTGGGATAAATGACTTCACCATGGCCCTGTGGTCCCTTGTAAAGAGCTGATGGCCCATGGCCTGGATGCTAATTTGAAACCATGGCCCCAGTACAACTTCTCCATTAAGCCACCTGGCTGGGGTTGTCCTGCTGGGTGAGGTTGCACTGGTAGGGCTGCCCCTTACAGATGACCATGTTGTCTGTCCTCTGATTAAAGCAACGAGCTTCCCAATGACACCTGCAGTGTGACACACTTGAAAATAACAAGCGAGCAAGCGTGTGGTCAAGGATAAGACTCCCAAGCCACCTTTTGCGTTTTACATTACTCTCTCCCTAGGGCAGGGTCAGGAAGGAATTCTGCAACTTTTAGGGTTCCTATTGGCTGTGTGAAAGTCCTGTCCCTGTCCCTGGGGCTCCCTGGACAGCACTGAGGCACACTGACTTGCTGTCCTCATCTGCCACCATAGGATTGTTGACTAGCTCTGAAAGCAGGATCTGTCCGCCACTGCTCAGAGGGCTGTTCTAGGAGAGGTGGTTTCTGGAACTTCCATGCTGCGGGGCCTATCTTCCAGTGGGGCAGTGACCTACGTTTCATTGACCTGTGTCATGGTGTCATGGCCTCTTCTTGCCTGGGTTTGGAAAAACAATGGAAAAGTTCTCAAAATCAGGAATTGGACCACCAGGAAGTTCTGTAAGATCCAGAGCTGCCTGTTCCACACCCCAGCCCACTGCTTAGCATGGACCTGGGCTCCAGGCTTGTCCGGTGTCCTCCGTGGGGTGTGTCTGGGAGTGGGTGGGGCTGAATGATGGGGTAGCAAGCCCCCAAAATCATTACCACCAAATGTGCTATCAGGAGTGGACCTGAAGCCCCCTACAGGTCACACAGAAACTCAGCTGCACCCCTCGGCAGGGCTAGAGAATGAGAAGAGTCTTCTTGGACGAGGAGGCACATTTCTGGCAACATGAGAGACCTGGCAGTGCCCAGGGCCACAGTGCAGAGCGGGGGTAGGAGGAAAGGGCATTTATCAAAGTTCGTGCCCTCCTTGAGCACAGCAGAGCCCGGGTGGCTCCTGACTGGCAAGCCCCTGGGGAACAAGGCTCATGTAGGGGCCATAGTGATGTGGTGGCTCGTCTTCCAGCTGGCCAGTCCCCTCCAAGCCTACAAGAAAGGGCACAGGACAGAAGGTTGGCCACAGCCTCAGTTTGTTTGAAGCTGTTTTCTGTGGGGAAGACATTGTCCAGGTCGATAGGGCCAAGGCCCACCTTCAAGGCCACCTCATTCCTTCTTTACATTGCAGTTCCTGCTAAGGGCTGTTTTTGGCTCAAAGCTCAAAATTTGGTAGGGTGGACTTTTTAGAAAACAAGTATGAGACAGTAGAATTCTGCTGAGAAAAGAAACACGTTTCATTTGGTAAAGGTGTGGTTGTCGGGGAGATCAAAGTCCTGACCCTGGCAGGGTGCATAACTATGATACACCTTGCTCACAGAGGGGTGACTCACTCCTCATG